CACCTTCGGGGCAACAATCACGTTCTTAGTAAAAAGGAAATCTAAATCTGGTTTATATGATATAATTGGAAATAAAACTTGCCAAAATTAACAAAAGTATCCTCCTCTCTCTTAAAATATTCAGGGAATTGCTAAAACATTCAGAATAAAGAAGAAATTAAAACCACTCCGCATAATCCATGTTGTTGAAAAGAAAACTTCGTATGAAAGAAGAAGAAAAAAACTTGCCTGGCAAGGCAATGGAGCTAAAATCCCACAATAAACAGAGATAGATTTGGTCACATAGCAAAATAGAGCCCATGTGGGGTATGGAAGGACCAGAGCCGAATGGTCTGGCCTGACCGGAGCCTCTTATCGACGACGACATTGTTCCATCCCGAAACCAAGACGTAATAGACAATGTTCTTCATACTCCATCTCCTGAGGTTAAGGTCCCATTGTTGACCCTCAGAATCCACCAAGGTTACACCAACTCCTTCGACATGAGTCCCGTTGTAATGCTGCTCAATGATGTTCAACTCTTCCTCGTTCAAAAATTCACGATCCACTATCATGTTCAACGGAATCAAGAGACGGCCTTGGTGTTTGGCAACATCACTCTCAGTAAGTTCCTTTTCGAATATCAGCTTCGCATCGAAACCGTTCTCTTCTCTCATCAAGTTAACGAGCCATTCCGGTGTCTCTCTTTCTCTAGCCATCATTCCTTCCTCTTTGTCCCTGCAGATAAAAAAACATCTAACGATCTCTTCTTATTAAGTTGATTACAAGAAGAGGAAAATAGTCAGTTTATTACGTAAAAGGAAAAAGACATACTAAAACTCTATTTACCTCTGTTTACAGAATAAATCCGTATTTATCTTCTTCTTTCTTTATATGTTTAATAATAACAGTATTTATCTAGTATTTTCTCGGTAATCTTATTATATAATGGAGAATGCGCACGATGAGAACGCGACACGTAAGCAAAATCGTTACTCACCAGATTACGACATATGTAATTGTTAATTTAGATGGTAACATGTGTCAATATTAACAAAATTTTAAAAACTAAAATAAAGAATATATTCTAAACAATGATTATGGACTAATTAACAAAAAGGAAAAAACCTTCATACTAAAAATAGGTAATATTTCTAAGAGCATCTTTATCACTAACACTCATAAAGTGTCTTAAGTAAATTTTTAATATTAAAAACACTTGACATTCTAAATAAATGGTTCATTAAGTTCAACCTATAGATATTTTTAATGGAGGTGTCAAGTAATTAAATGATTTTTTAATCTTTTTTATTTTTAAGACACTCTTAAGAGTGTTACCATTAAGGATGCTCTAAATGTTTATATTAGAAAATACATTCTTTCCATTTCAAATTATTTAAATAGTTAAAGACAAAATAAGATGTCATCTTATGAGTGTCATTTTAC